AAATTTTGGTCAATGACATGAGACAAAGTATATGTGAACTGCTGTATGAAAAGTGAATTTACTCTGTAAATCTTCACCCAAATCCTAAAAAAATTAAAAAAAAAAAAAAAAGTTCTGCCTGGGGTATTATGCTTTTTTAAGAACTATCTCTATGGGATCAAAGTGACAACAGCAACTAGAAAGATTAGATAGGAATCTTAGGGGGCAGTGAATTTATGTTAATGAGGGAGGAACAACTCAGAAAAGAATGGTTGTACAAATTGAAGAATATAATCAATGTCCCTGAATTGTACATGTAGAGACTTGAATTGGTGTATGTTTTGCTGTACATATTGTCAACAAGAACAAAATAAATAAAACTTAGAAAACAAAAATGTGGTCTGGTGACTGGAACTGGAGCACGCACTGTTTGTTACCAGTGAGATGAGCACGGAGATTGAGAACATGCGTATAGAACATTTTGCAGCAATTTAAAAGAGTATTTCTATGTATGTGTGATCTGATAATTAGGACCTCTGGTAGCTTAGTGCCTAAGACACTTGACTGCTAACCAGAAAGCTTGCAGTTCAAACCCGCCAGCCACTCCTCGGAAGGAAGTTTGGGCAATCTACTTCCATAGTGATACCGCCTCAGAAACCCAAGGAGGGGTTGTTATGAGTTGGATCCAACTTGATGGTACATAACAACATCAACAATCTAATAATTAAAAATAAGGGTCATATTTTGTATATTTTTTTCCATTTTTTTTCACAATTCATTTTTCTTGTGTTCTACAAAAGAATTCATCTATGATGGAGTGGACATTTTAACACAATGGTCCTTTCCCACAGACATTGAAAAGTAGTGGTCTCGGATGTGATCATGGGAATGAGGTAGAAGTAGAATGGAAGTCAAAATCACAGGAGGTCAGAGGCAAGGGACTTGGGGACATCAGCCCAGGCAATGTTGAAATCACCAAGAATAATAGTGCCATACATAGGGTGGAGGTGATATCAGTTTCTATTCAGCATTCTGGGGAATTTGGTCCCCAAAAGAGAGGTGGTGTCTAGAGCTGAAACTCCCTAAGATCACATTATCTGTTATTTCCCAAGGCAAATTGCATCCAAGATGGCATGGAGCTTGCAAAACCTGGATCCTCCTGTACTTTCTCTGAGAGGCACGGCTCTCAGGGAAGGCCCCAAGTACCTGACTTGTGTGTGGGCATGTGCCAAATAGAAAGGCAATGTGTTCAAGTTTCCACTAAGCCCTGATGGCAGGCTGACTGAAGCATGGCCTCAGAGGCTACTCTCATAAGGGGAAGTACCCAGAGTCTTCAGGAATATGAAGCCCAGCTCCTGCCAATTCCAGATTCAGGAGACAAGAATCATGCAGGGCCTGCAGAATGGTTCACTTGGCTCTGCATGTATGAGGAGGCGTGGGCCACAGTTTTTGATTTGGACACAGGGTCAGTGATATATAGTCTCCGTCAGTCCAGAACAGAGGTCATGGCCACTGCAAAGTTCAGGGTGAGGCACCTGCACTGAATTATTTCCCAAGTGGGGAAGAAGACAGCAGGGCCTAAATCCCTAGAGTCTTCAGGAATGCAGGAGTCATTGAAACACACAAAACTTAGTCAGACATTTATTGGGGCAGGGGAGCCAGTTCCCCACCCTGCAGGCCCTTCAGGCTGATAAGATTTCGATATGGAACTCCAGTTGGTTGGAAGAGACTACCTGTGAATGGTCACTGGTCTCAAAGGTGAGGCAGCTCTTTGGGTCCTGGATCGTGCAGATGGTGTTCTTCATTTGGGCATAGTGTTGCTGGCACAGATGCATGCGGAGCCAGGACTGCAGCTTGACTGCTGCCTTCTCCTGAGTTATATAGGCCTTCAGTAAGTTGTGCAGTTGCTCATGCATCTGCCTCTGCCTGAGCGTCCTCCACCAGCACTGAATCATCCAGGCCCTGAGGGCAGCCACTAGCAGGGTCCGTCGCACCAGGGTGCCACGCCACCAGGCCTGGATCTTCCTGGCTGCCTTTACTCTTTTTTTATGGCGTAGTTGTGCAAGAATATACTGGCCAAGCAAAGCAGAAAAGACGCACAGTGAAATTTTCACCATCAACCACAGCCCCAGGGTCTGCCTGAAAGGGGTCCTGATCCTCAATCTTAACAGTCAGCCTTCCCCCCTCAGTGGTTCTGAGGACCCAAGAGACTTAGGTCGGGTTTTGTCTTTGCTATTGTCTTGTCTAAGACCATGGATATATCCACTCACCCTCTGAGTTGCAGTGTGCTTGTCCATCAAAAGGGGAAATGCTTGCCCTGTGGACCTCACAGGTGCATGGAAATAGGGGTAGCACTTTCTGATCCAGAAGACTGGACGTGGGTATGAGGAACCAATGGGGTCTCCATGGGCCCACCAGCCCCCTCACCTTTGCAATCCTCCCACACTCATGAGGACAGTCATGTGCAATTATGACCTGAATCTCAGCATACATTCTAGCTCATGATGCTGCCTTTTGATGCTGTATGTGGCGCCACAGCCCTCTGGGGACTCTTGCTCACCTCATTTTTTTTTTATTTTTTTAATTTTATTTACACCACTTACCTCTCAGTCATTTCCACATGGCTCTAAGCCCAGGCCACTCCCTTCTCCATCTTCCCATTTTCTACTGTGCTGTGTCCCACCTCTGCATGATCTGTTTACACCCTAATTCCCAGCCTCTCCAACATCTTCTCAATATCTAACTCAGCTCACTCAGGATGGAAGGGGGGTACCAGGACAGGAAAGTAACACTGAGCTGACCCCTGTGTGACCAGAAGGGGGTGCTCCCGTTCCAAGAACCCTGGGGGCAGCTATTCAAAGATCTGTGGTTTTCTCATACTCCAGGGCCCCACCTACCTTCTGCCTCTCTCTCTCTAATGCATCTTCGTCTGGACCAGACTTCTGCAATCAGAACGTGGAGGAGAGCATGGGTGAGGACTAGCTCCTGTGCATAAGCCCCATGGTTTCCATAGCCCCACCTCCCCATTCTTTCCTTGGGTCCTATGGAGTTGTTCAGTGCTTCCCACTGTCATAGGGCAACTTCCCACCCTGCCGAGGTGGGTCTAACTGAATCTTACACAACATTTACCACCCATGGTTTGGGGACATTGGTTAGTTCAGTTGTTCACAAGCCCTTTGGTTGCTGCTCCCCTAGCCCTGGGAGGGGCAGAGGGATGATGGAGGAGGGGATAGCCATGATGTCACAAGGGCAATTATGACCCAGTGTTATGCATGGAATTGTATCCCCTAAAATATGTGTCAATTTGGTTAGGCCACAGTTTTCAGTATTATGTAATTATCTTCCATGTTGTGATCTGCTCTAATTATCTTCTGTGTGTAAATTCTAACCTCTATGATGTTAATGAGGCAGGATTAGTGAAGTTATGTTAATGAGGGAGGACACAATCTACAAGATTTGGTTGTATCTTGAGTCAATATCTTTTGAGGAGATTCAACAAATTAGCAGAGATCAGAGAGACTTCAGTACCAAGAAAGAAAAGCCAGAAGCAGAGCATATCCTTTGGACCTAGCATTCTTGTGATATGAACCTCCTAGACCTGAGGGAAGATTGATTCCAAGGCATATGGGGGTCTCCAAGTGACATCAAGCCCACAGATGTTGAAAGGAGACAAGGAACTTCCCCTAGAGTGACAGAAAAAAGCCTTCCCCTGTAGCTGGTGCCCTGGATTCAGACCTCATAGTGCCTAAGGGATTTGACTGCTAACCAGAAGGCTGGCGGTTCAAATCCACCAGCCACCCTTCAGAAGGAAGGTTGGGCAATCTACTTCCATAGTGATACTGCCTGGGAAACCCGAGGAAGGGTCGCTGTGAGTCAGATCAGACTCGATGGTTTGGTTTTTGGTTTGGAAGCTGTGAGAGAATGGAATTCTGTTTTTCATGGTGTGTCTGTTATAACTACACTAGAGGACTAAGACACCCAGGGATCAGGTTACCTTTTCCAGACTCAAAGTTATTGCATCAAGAGGAAACACCTGTCTATTTCCTTCCTGTCAGAGTCTTCAATGGAACCACAGTCCCTGTGAGTCTATCCTGCCCCAAAGATGACTTCATGCCTGGCCCATTCCAGGACCATCCTGCCATTGGCCTCTGAGGACAGCAGTTTGTGCTATGCAGAGGACACACGGGCCCTCCCACAGAGCTGGCTCCTGCTGTGCCGCCCACCCTCCCCACACCCTCCTGCCTTCTTTGCCATGGTTTCTGTTCTCAGGGAATGGGAAGATGCCTCTTTTAAGGGAGATCAGTGTATCTGTGGAGGGTGAGCAGAAGAGGCTGAGGAAGGATCAAGATGGAGGTGCCTCAGTCAATAGCCCTCTCTCCTCCCCCATCCTTCTGTGTGTGTGTGTGTGTGGCAACTAACTTTCTGATATGTGATCCATAAAAGAAAAAAAAAAAAAAAAAAAAAAAACCCTTCCAACCCTGAAACTCAGTGGTGTGGAAGAATTTTCCAGATTTAAGTAATCATGTATGAAATGGTGGCCCTTCCCCAGGGTAGACTCTTCTGCTGCCACACTTGACTTACAGAGTACAAGGAAGCTGGTAGGACAAGAGTGGGGGAGAGAGTTGGAAGATAATGACTGGCAGAGAACATGGGTTAGTTCATGTGCAATATGTATGTTGGCAGGGGCACTGGGGACCTGTGTGACGTGAGTATGGTCTCTGGGATCAAGATGCCCTCCAAAAGCCTAAGTTAAAGGAGTACTGCCAGTAGGATGCAAGAGGGCTCACAACTCCCAGAGGCCAGTAGCTGTGGCATCTGCTCCCTCTCCCTGTCCCTGGTGCCTCTGTCTCTCACTTTTGCTTCTCTCTGCCTCTGCAGAGTGTCTCCTTAAGATCTTGTGTCCTCCGGAATAAGAAACTTGCATTTTGAATTCCTACTAGACTATTGGGAGCTCTGGTAGCATAGTGGCTAAGACACTTGCCTGCTAACCAGACGGCTGGCGGTTCAAACCCACCAGCCACTCCTCAGAAGGAAGGTTGAGCAATCCTACTTCCGTAGTGATACTGCCTCAGAAACCCAAGGAGGGGTCGCTATGAGTCGGGGCCGACTCCACGGCACATAACAACAACAACACTAGACTATGAGATTCTTACTAAAAGTTTACAGCCTTGAGAGCCCAAATCAGGTCTTATTAAATCTGTGCAACCACCAGAAAAATATTTCCTGATAGAGTTTCAATTAAGATTAAATGGAGAAAGGAAGAAATAAAGGGAGGGAAGGAAGAGAGAGAAGGAAAGAATGGAGAGAGAAGAAGAAGGAAGAAATAAGTAGCATTGCTACCCTCCACTCTAATATCTGAACTCATTGCTGTTGAGTTGATTCTGACTCATAGCAATCCTGTAGAACAGAGTGGAGTTGCTCCAAAAAGTTTTCAAGGGTGTAACTTTACAGAAACAAACTAGTACATCTTTCCCCAGTGGGGCAGCTGATGGGTTTGAACTGCTGACTTTGTGGTTAGCATCTGAGTGCTTAACTACTGTGCCACCAAGGTACCTAGACATTGGTAACAAGATATACATATGCCAACAATCAAACCAAGAACACTTTTTGTCAGTGTAATGTTCACTAGGTGTGTAACAACAACCCCCAAATCTCAATGACTTAACACAAAAAATTTCATGTCATCTTCATGCAAAAAAAAAAAAAAAAAAA